GGGAGGGGGGAGGGTGGAGGGGGATCAAGAAGTATGGTTAGCTGGCGGGATAAAAGAAAGCTAGCTGGTGGGAAGGCAGTACGAAGAAAGCTAGGATTACGTTTGGGGAAGCAGAGAACGGTAGATAATCGCTACCCCGAAACGAGTTACAGTCGTAGCACCTTTTGCCTTCAGATACAACTCTAGAAGGGAAACCTGGGCATCGGCGGCTGTCCGGACAGAAATTGAAACAAAAACCGACCTAAAACACAACGAATAACATATATATAGACCTAGGGTAAAGAGGAGTAGGCCCCGCTCCAAACAGGAGGAAACCCCATGCTTGGAAGGACCAGACGGTCCCTCCCTTTCTCAGGCCGAATTGATCCTAGACAACGCACAACTTTTGTCATGACTGGGGCCGCAAACGCCTAGCATCAATCTCCATGGATTGAAAGGGCTTCAATCTCATCTGTCGAAGCTTTTGTGCCCTCTTAGTATGGAGTCAAATATTCCACGCTGAAGGTAGCCGAGATGTTGTAATCCCCTGGTAAATCAACCTTATAGGCGTTATCATTTCACTTCTTGAAAATTCGGAATGGTCTGTCCGCTCTAGGTTTGAGTTTCCTGAACGATCCTGGATATCCCTCCGGAAGGTCATATTCTTCATGGATTTATTAGCTTGTGCCTGGTACTCGTGATTCTATTTGGCAATCTCTTTTCCAACCTCCTCATGCAGCCTCTAAATTTCTTGTACTCTTGCCTCAACAACCCCACTAATCTCTGACCTAGGAAGAACTGGTACTAATTCAAGTGGAGTGAGTGGATTGTGTCCATACACAATCTGAAAAAAGTGTGTGTACCGTAATCTGGTTTATGGATTGATTGTACGCAAAATCAGCCAGGGCAAGGAGCAGATCACACTATTTTCCGATGAAGCACCTCAGGAAGTTTCCCAGGCTCCTATTCACCACTTCCATCTGACCATCTATCTGTGGATGGGTTATCGAGCTGTTAAAGTTTAGAGTCAAATCTTCCCCCTGAAGGTTTCTTCAGAAGTGACTCAAAAACTTAACGTGTCTATCAAATATAACGGTTTATGGCATTTTCTGCAGCCTCACAATCTCCCTGAAGTACAAATCAATGACATAGGACGCATCCAACATCCTGAGACACTACACAAAATGAGTCACCTTTGAGATTTGGTCAACCGCAACCATCACCGAATTTTTATTTTGTTGCATACTCGAATGACCCGCCAGAAAATCCAAACTTATGCCTACCCAAAAGGCCTCTGTTACCGGTAACACAGTGTATAGTCATGTATTTTACCCTTGGGTCTTGTCCAAGTAGCAAACTCTACACTGTCTGACATATCGCTACACATCTCTCCTCAATCGGGGCCAGAAGAAGTGTTCGTTCATTAGCTTAACGTTCTTTTCTATGCTAAAATGACATGCTAGTCCCCCTCTGTGGCTCTATAGGACGATGACTTCGCTCAACGAACATCTGGGTACACAATACTTGCTCTGGTGAAACAGATAACCATCATCTCTAAGGTATGATCATGTGGGCCTATCTTGATATTGCTCTGAAATTTCCCTAAATTCTCAACTGCACCATTTAACTCCTTCAGTACCTCAAATCCCATAACTCTAGACTGTAGAAAGGTAATCAGTGAATGGTGGCAGCTCAAGGCATCTGCTATTCGATTCTGACTTTTTAGCTTATGCTTGAGCATGAACTAGAATGACGACAAAAACTCAACTCACAAAGCATGTCTACCCTTCAGCTAGTCCTGACTATTCAAGAATTTTAGTTTCGAGTGATCACTGAATAAAGTGAACTCGCTCTTCAGCAAGTAGTGACTCCAGTGGTAGAAAGCTCTCATAATATCATGGAACTCTTTATCATAGGTCGATTTCTTTCTCTCAGACTCATTCAATTTCTCACTGAAGAAGGTTATAATGTGTCGTCCCTAACTCAACACTACTCTGATCCCCATATTAAAGGCATCACATCCCATCTTGAACAACTGGCTGAAATTCGGTTAAGCTAACATTGAGGCCTATGTCACCTATTCCTTCAGGGTGTCAAAACTATAGTGGGTTTCCACTGTCCACCGAAACTTCTTTCCCTTCAAAAGCTCTATCAAGAGAGTTGTAATGGTTCAAGAGCTCCTGATCAACTGCCTGTAAAATGATGCTAACCCCTAAAACTACCTTGGCTCGTGGGGGTGTCCAACTCATGATCGTTTTTATCTTCATGAGGTCCATTTAATGCCAACAACGAATATGATATAACCAAAGAAAAATATTTGCATCGTCATGAAGTAGCACTTTCTTTGAGTGGGCATATAGTTTCTCCGATTGCAGAACCTCGAAAACTCGCTTCAGATGCTGCAAGTGCTCCTCTGAGCTGTTGTAGAAGAATGTTATTAAAGTAAACAACACAAACTTTCCGACATAAACCTGGACCATCTAATTCATCAGTCTCATGAATGTGTTGGTGCATTAGACGGCCCAAATGACATGATGGTCCACTCGTACAACACATCTCTGGTCTTGAAGGTGATCTTCCATTCACTCTCTGACTTTATTCTGATCTGATGATATCCACTGGGTAAATCAATATTGAAAAAGAATACTACTCTATGTAACTGATCCAGTTGGTCGTCCAGGCAAGGGATAGCAAACCAGTATTGGATGATGATCTTGATGATAGCTCGATTGACAATGCACATTCTCTATGAGCCATCCTTCTTAGGTACCACTAGCATAGGAACAACGCACGAGCTGGTACTCTCTCTCACCAATCCCTTAGTAATATGAACTTGCACTTGCTGCTGTAACTCCTCACTCTACTGGCCTCGACCTGTATGCGGGATTGTTTGGCATTATTGGTCGTGAGATATAAGCTATGGAATGTTGAATATCCCTTAGCAGTGATAAACCCTCTAATAGTGTTACACCCCAACTAAATCTCCTGATAAGGTCAATCATGGTGCGACAGAGGTTGAAAATTTGGTCAGACCAACTCTCACCAACACTCATTGTGATTTTTATAATCAGGACCCAATTTGTCGCAACGTACGTGATACATTGCATTTCAAATACATACTCGGAAGCATGGAAATTATAACATCAAAAATCAGAAAACTATACAAAACTGCTAAATCAAATATAATAAAAATATGTATCAAAAACATATGTGCAAGCTCCCAAAACTATCGTAAAAAAGCTGTACAAAGACACACTTGCTACTCGCCCTGGTGCTTGTTGCCCCAACCTAGAAGCAACAATGAAGAATGAGCAACAAGCTATCAGAAATAATCAGGGCTAACAGAATATTTTATATATGAAATAAAAACATCCATGCTCGTATGAAACCATTTATGTCTATACACAAATCGTAACGCGCTGGTATAATATAGAACATGAAAGGAGAGTAGGTACAAGTAGTATGAAAATTAATTGTAGTGCAACATGTATGTTGTAAGCATGAAATCATACGCAAAAAACATGTTGATAACTATTTATTGTATGTAATCGTAGCAATATCATTTCATAGTAATGTCACTAGTTTAATGCATAAAGCTCAACTATTTTCATATTTTTTCATAAGCTATCGATAAATGTTAGGTTTCCCCCAACACAGCAGTTATCGAGAGCCCTCATCGAACTCACAGTTATCTAATGTTCTATCACCGTCTAATTCCAACGGTACCCAAAATTTCATCCCCGTATAAATATCAGAAGTCGGAAATACTATATTCTTACATAATGTACTTGCAAGCACTCGTGTAAAAGTCAACCTTTGAACATTCCTTGTGACATTTAACTCATCACTCCTGTATCAAACATTTATTATGCATTACATGTATCATAAGCATAGGCAAGAGGCATAACAAATAAATACCTACAAAAAATTCATATCATATGCAGTCATATGTAACAGTCCAATTATAGCATTACATATACCGTAAGAAAAGTAAACGCGCATTAATGCTTTCAATTGCATGTATCTATTTACAATATGCAGAAAGTTATAAATACATCATGTCAAAATGAAAATCATATGAAAACCTGTAGAGGATTATTATTCTTGAATTAGCATAAAGATTATTTCACTTGATTAGACGGAGCAACCCTTCGACGAGTGTCCACACGCTCGTCTCGAGCTTGCCGCCTCGTAAGGACAACCTCAGGCTCGTAGACAACAAAGGATTTCATAAAATTTAGCTCAAAATATGAATTAACCCAAAACTTGCATTAATTGTCAAAACATACCTTAAAAGAGCTATTTGGCATAACCGGTCTATCCGAAGCCGCCTAATTTTCTTTCTATCACTGTCAACCACACCTCCCCTGTCTTGATTTCATGTTAGAACCCATACAGAATCCCAAAGGACTTTTGACGCTTCTAGCACACAATCGGCTCCTTCGACTGCTACGGGAAATGATAAAAGCACAAAAAACGAGATAAATATCAAAATGAAAGGGTGAGGAAGGAAATGAAAATCTCAAATAGCATAAAAAAGGGATTTGCACATCCATAAATTGCACCAAAGCCCTAAATCGCTAGT